CTGCTCAGGTCCCTTCCAACCCTAGAAGGTATGAAACTATTATTTAAATGACATTAACTGACAGTTTTAACAGTTTATTTGAAACACCCTAACACTCATTATTCAATGCTGGCCAGAGAATAACGCATAGGCAATACGAGGCATTGACAGAATTTTACAGAGCTCGTTTTTTAAACCACTGATACAGTAAGAATAAAATCAAAATAGATTGCACAAAAAAATACAATAGAAAATTGCATAAAAAAATACAATGCAAATATAAAAATGTTGTAAATGTTGTACCTAGATTAGAAGAAAGCCATTTTAAACTAGATTATGTAGTTAAACCATTTTTGACAATACAAATTTCTGCAAAGCAGGGATTTTGATAAAGTAGTTCTATTTTGATCTCTAGTCCATCAGCTCTAATGCTCCAATTGTAAAAGTTTACCTATGTTATTCAGCAGGAAATTATTCAAATTAAATTTAATCCATAAAATTCAGAAACCAAGAAATGGATACCTGAAATGTTGTTCCTCTTCATTGTCACTCTGTAGAAGATCATCATTCAGCTCTTCATCTGACAAGTCAGACTGATTCTAGGTTAACATAAGAGGTGAGTTGTGAACATCTGGTTCTTGTTATAAAATATAACATTTTTTAAAACGTACAAAAAAAAGTACATGGTAATAATCACCGTCTCACAAAAACTACAAACAATAAGCAACATGCTTTCATAATGAATTCAAAACTGGCCAGACAAATTTCATTTCTTTTTGAAAAAACTTATATAGATCAGATGATGAAAGGAATACTGTGGAAAACATATCTGAATTTCAGTGAAGCATTTGATAGTCTCTCACGAAACCTGGTAAAATGCATTCAAATTGGCTTAGATTTCAACATTGCCACAGGGACAAAAAATTGGCCATAGGACAATAAACTAAAAGGTAATGATCAAGCAATATAATGATGGGGGGGGAGGCGCTGTTTGCGGGTGCCTGGGGGTATTGAAATGGTTGGTATTAGGACCTACTTTATTTAACAACTTCATTAATGATCTAGAAACAGACAGGATAAAGGAGAACAACATGTTACTTTAAATGAAACAAATTTGGGAGACAAATACTAGAAAAGGATACAGAGGTCAGAAAGTAGGATAAAAGAAAGAAGAGTTCAGACAAGAGAAAAAATATTCAGGCATAAATTTGTTGCTGTCTTTTCCTGACCTCTTTTCAATTTGTCACATCTTTAATAAAGAAAGTTACTATATAGAAAAAACAACTACATAACTGGATAAGTTACTTGAATCGTTCCCTACCCCCACATGCATACACCACTCCTAAAAAGGAGAGAGAAAAAAGGACTTAAATATACAAGTAGGAGTGCACCAATACAGATCTTTTTGGGCCAATACCAATGGCCAATTATTAACCAGCCATATCAGCCAATACTGATCCAAGAGCAGACATGCAACCCAGCAGTTTGGACAACACCGTCCGGCCAGTAAGTCTATGAAGCGGAAGGGGCAGGGAGAGGGAAGGGGTGTGGGGAGAACAGATCAAGACCCCCACTGAGAGGGAGGGAGGGAGTGAGGATGGGAGAGGGACAGGCACTGCCCAGCCAGGGTGGGGAGCCTTGGGCGGCTCATCCAGGGGGTGGTTCCTGCAGCTGCGCGCAGCCCCAAGGGAGGTATGGGGGAAGGGCCCCCCAGGCCTGTACATGGGGTGAGGGCAGGCTACCTACTGTGGGCTCGGGGCCGGGGGCTGCGCTGGCCTCTTCTTGGCAGAGCTAGGGCTGCACTCTGGGTGGATGAGAGTGGGGCAGGCAGCAGCAGCACTAGGAGCAGGGGCTACAGGGTAGGCTATGGCCACCCCAAAATTTGTTCCCCATAACCCTCTGTCCCAAAGCCGCCACCTGCCCACCCTGCCCCAAGCACAGCCCTGGCCCAGTGCCCCCACTATGAAGAGGCAGGCACAGCACCTCGCAGCAGACAGTCCACACACCCTGCACACAAATCTAGGGAACATGTACCCCCCCCAACCATCCCACACCTTTCCAATTCCCCTCCCGCACACCCATCTGGTTTGGGGCGCAGGTATCTAATCAAGGATCACAGGTCTATGGGAAGAAGAGAGGATTCCTTGTTCTCCCCTCTTATCAGTCCTGTCAGTACCACTTGCTCCCCAATTAATTGATATTATGGATAACCTACTGTGGGAAATAGAACGAGAATGGACACTTTACTACTCTGTAGGAACATAAGAATTGCCATTCAGGGACAAACTGAAGTTCCATGTAACCCAGTATCCCATTTCAAGAGTAACAAGCAGCATTTGCTTTAAGAGGAATATAACAAGGCATGTATAGAGCAATCCATGCCCCATCATACCATCACAGCTACTAGCAGTCAAAGAACCTGGGATATCTTAAAACTGAGACATGCACAGAAACAAAGGAGATAGTTGGGAGCCCTTGTGGCTACCCATCTTCTTATCTATCTTCCCAATCTGTTGAAGATAAACTGTTACGTCCTGGGGAAGAGATGCAAATCACTAGCTTGTAGAGGTGCACCGACAGATTTTGGGAGCCGATACCAACAGCCAATATTTAAGGAGGCACATTGGCCAATACTGATCCAATTTCCAATACAGTTGCTGCCAGCTGGTAAGTCTGGTGTGGTGGAAGGGGAGGGAGGGAGGAAAGGGGCATGGGGGAGCAGGCCAATGCCTCCCCACAGTAAGGGAGAGGGTAGGGGCAGGCACTGCCAAGGCAGGACAGGGGAGTGGCAGAGCCGTGGCTCATGGGGGCGTGTGCCCACTGGATCTGCATGGGGCAGGCTGCAGCTGGGGCTGCACGGGGCTCTTCTCAGCAGAGGTTGGACTCTGAGCAGGTGCCAGAGACACTGGGAGGATGCTGCATCCACCCCAGATTTTGCCACCACCACCAGCTGCCCGGCACTGCCCCAGCTCAGTGCCCTGCCTCCACCCACACACTGGGAAGTGGGGGCTGCAGCAAAGTCTGAAGTGGATACAGCATCCTCCCAGCACCACTGGCACCCACTCCAAGCCCAGCCCCCACCAAGAAGAGGCCAATGCAGCCCCGTCTGCAGCCTGCCCTGCCCCACACAGATCCAGGGGGTACATGACTCCCCCTGTACCCCTACGCCCTCCCAGGGCGTACAAGTTCCTGCAATAACTCCTTCCAGCTTTAAAAGCAAACATTAAATGCAGGTAGGTCTTACCTTTTTACCAGCGAGCAAATCCTCTCCAAGCAAATCATCTTCAAGTTCACTGGAAAACATAGATATATAAAATGTGAAAAGCAGTTATGTATCACACTTAAGTCAATGCCTAGAAGATCCTTCTCCTGGACAAGGCAATGTTTCCTCTGGGAAAAACTGAGCAAATGCTTATATGCTTGTAGTTTCTACCAAGGGAACAGCAACTCACCCAGTAAAAGTGTAATGTCTGCACATAACTAAGTGCTATGCCTGGATCTGCTCATGTCTTTCGGATGACATGCTTGACTAATGTTCTCTCCCAACTATAGAGGAAGACAGATTGGAGAGAACTGTGGAGCGGCAGCACACACAGTTCCCACGTTACAGCAACAGGACACATTTAAAGTTACCATTCTAGAAATGTCTGTGTTGGTAACCTCTAAACCCCGATGTTATTTGCTGGATTTACATACTGGATTTAAAATATGCCTTGGGGTTGAGTGTACACTTCCTTACACAGGAAGCAGAACCTAGCAAGAGACTGATGTTCTATTCACCACCCCCCATGAATTATACAACCCCTCAAAGTAAGCTTAGGCACCTAAACAGGGCGCACAAACCTGCAGATGTAAAATGACCAGAGAAGTAAATTCCTGTTGATAATACACGAGTAATGGAAAGGATAAATCCTTGCCAATTGTTCAAGTAATCTACCTGAATACCCAACAGAAAATCTAGATTGCAATTACTAGATTTGAGAGTTAGCTAGAACTACATGGCAAGGCATTTCAGTTTAATTGAAGCCCATTCAATTTGGAGCAAAGAGCTGCTCCTAGGAAGAAAACAGATTATTTTTCCACCAACTTTATTTTCTAGCCAGAGAACATTAAAAAAAAGCCTCCCAGAATATCAAAAGATCAATAATGAGAAGAGATTGTACACACACACCAAATTAATCCCGCAAGTGTCCTTAAACTAAGAAACAATTATGGATAAAATGGATGAATCAACAACCAACAAGAGTGAGAATAGAAGGCACTTGGTCTTTGACCAAGTAAGAGTGAAAGAGCCAGACAAACCACTAACAAGGCAGATACCTCCATATAAAAGGAGAGGAATCAAGAAGTATAACAAATAATCCCAATGAATGGTGTAAGGAAAAGTTACTATCCCATCACACTTTCTCAAACAACTCTGTGCATCAAAAATTAAAAGGTGCCAAGGACTACTCCAATATTTTCAGTCTGTTTCCCACATTTTTGTTCATATGGCTTCAATCCCCATCAATTGAGGATATTAGGCCAAAAATGACAGCGACCTAGGATTTAATCTTCATCCTACCCCAATACAGAGCAGGATGGACTATGTGCTGGAGTGGACTAACAACTCATGACCAAGAGTTACTCGTGGTCATGACCGAAAGAACTAGATGCATTCAAGATGGCTAAAAAGTACTGAATGGTTGACAGCAATTCACATCTGCTATAAAGATACCTGCCTCCAGAGAACTAGATTAGAAGGCTACAGAGGACAGTTCAAGGGACATCCTTGTGACACGAAACAAATAGATATCAAAAACAGTTCTT